CGCTTCGCGCCCCGTCGTCTTCGCCTTTCTGCCCAGCCACCCCCCGCGCCTCCCATGGCCTTTGCCCCTGCCTCTCCCGGCCCACCGCCGCCCTCTTGCTGGCCGGCCGGGGCCATCCTTATGCCCCCCCTGTTTCTCCTCGAGGCACGCCTTATCTCTTGCCCATCTCTATTCCTCCCAGTTGCTGCTCCCCTCCTCCTGGCGTTCCCCGTGGCCCTTCTGCGCTTGTTCCCCCCCCCCCTTCGCGGCCGCGCCCCCCGGGGGGCCCGGGTCGGCGCACCTGGCGGTTTGGGCTCTCGCCGGCTTTGGGGTTGCTCCTCTTTTCCCCGCCTGCTGCCATCTCCCTCCCTCCTCTTCGCGCTCGCCCGGCCGTCCTTGGTCCTCCGACTCGTTGCGGCCCTCCCCTCCTCCCCCCGCTGCTCCCGCCTCTTTTCGCTTGCTCGTTCGCGCCCTCCGCTCTTTACGCTCTGGCCCTGCCTCCTTTCTTGTCTCTGCGCCGCCCTTCCCGCTTCCTCGGCCCCGCTTCCTCGGCCTGCTCCCTCCTTTTCTTCTCTGCTCGCTCGCTCTCCCCCTCCCCGCTGCGCCCTTGGCTCGTTTTCTCCCCCCCCCTCCGTGCTTGGCCCCTCCCTCCTGGCCGCCTGGCGCGCTCGTTGGCGCGGTACCACCCCCCTCTCCTTTCTTTCTCCTCCGGCCCCCGCTGGCTTCTTTTGTGCCCGCCTTTTTTGGCCTCCCCCGATGGCCTTTGCGCTATGTGGCCCTTCTCGCGTCCTCGCGCTGCCCCGCCGCCCCCCTTTTGTGCCCCCTGCGGCGTCGCCTTTCTTGCTTCTCGCTCCGCCGGTCTCCCTGGGCTCTCTCCCCCTCGCACTGCCCCGTCCCCCCTGTGTGGTCTTTCCCCGTCTTCCTCGTTCTCTTGGCGCACTCTTTCGCTCCCCCTCTCCCGCTTCGCGGGCTTCGTCTCCTGGCGCTGTGTGCTTTGCTCGCCCTTTTGCTTTTCCCGCTTCCGCCTCGCCCTGTCCTCCCCGTCCCTTCCCTTGGCTGCCCTGGCCCTGCCCTGTCGCTTGGCCCGCGTTCCCTGCCGCTCCGCCTTGGGCTGTCGTCCCTCCTCCCCCCTCCCCGGGCACTTGCTCTCTGGTCGCTTTCGTCCCCCTCCCCTCCCTCGGGCTTTTTGTTTGTCCCTCGTCCCCCGCCTTTTTTTGTTTTGTGGCCTGCCCCCTTCTTTCCCCTCTTTTGCCCCGACCTTCTGTTCTGTTCCCGTCCGCCCCTCTGGCCTGGTTCGCGGCGTCTCTCTCTCGCCTCGCGGCTTTCTTTTTTTTTTTTCCGGGCCCGGGCGTCGTGGCCTCCCCGTCGCGGTCCCGTCGGGCCCTCCCGCTCGCCTGGCCCCCTCTCTCGCCCCGTCCTCCCTTCGGCCTTCCCCGGTCCTCCTTTCTTTCTTCCGCGGTCGCGGCTTGCTCCTTTGCGGGGCCGTCGCCTCCTCCCGCCTTTTCCCTTTCCTTTCTGTCCTCCTTCTCCTTGCCGTCCTTGCCTTCCCCGCCTTCCGCCCTCTCCCCCTCCTCCCTGCCTCCGCCCGGCGGGCTCCCTGCCCTCTTGCTTCGTCTTCCCTGGGCCCTTGCGTCCGGCGTCGCCCTTTTTTCTTTTTGGGTTTTCTCGCCTGTGCCCCGCGCCCTCCTTGTCTTTCTTTTTTTTCTTTGGTGTCCCTCCTTGCGCCGGCTGCCCGGCCCCCTTCCCGTCCGCTTTCGCCGGGGGGGCGCTCCTCTCGCCTCCTCTCCCCCTTTTTCTTTTGCTCGGCCCCTCCCTCCCCCCCCCCTTTTTTCCGCTTCCGGGGTTTCTTCGCCTCTGCCCTCCCCTCTTGGCCCTCCCGCCTCCCCCTTTTTTTTCCTCCCCCCGGTTTCGCTCCCTTTCGCCCTCGCGCCTTTCTCCGGGTGCGGGTGCTCTCCGCGCCCCCTTCGCCGCTCTCGCTTTCCGCCTTCTTCTCGCGCCTTCGTTCCTCGCCTGGCCCGCTTTGGGGGCCGCCGCGCCCCCCGGGCCTGCCTGGGCCGCTCGCCCCGTTGGCCGCCGCCCGGCTTTTTTGGTTCGCCGTCTGGCGTTGGCTCCGCCTTTTCTTCGCCCCCCTCTCGCCCCCGCCTGGCTGGTTTTGTGTCTCTTCCCCGTCCTTCCTCCTGCGTTGCGCCCCCTCCTTCCGCTCGCTGGGGGGCCCCTCCTGCGCTCGGCTCTTCCTGCCCTCTCTCGCCGCGTTCTCTCTCGGCCCCCTCCCCTTCCCGCTCTCTTCCCCCCGTCGCTCTCCGCCCGGCGCCTTCGTCCTGTGTCCCGCGCCCTTCGTCCCCGCGGCTGTGGCTCCCCTTCTGGCTCCTGGCCTCCGCGGCCCCCCCTGCGGGCCGGTCCTCCTCCCCTTTCCCCGTCCTTTTCGGCTTTCCTTGCGGGCCCCGCGGGCCGCTTTCGCGCCCCTCTGCTTGGTCCCCGCGTCGCTTCTTCCGGCCGTTCTGTGCTTGTCGTGGGCCCTTCCCTTTCCTTCCCTCGCTGTGGCTTGCCTCGCGCCCTCGCCCTCGCGCTTTTCCCGCCCTTTGTCCTTCGCGGTCTCCTTCGCCCCCCTCTTGCTTCGCCCCTCGGGGTTGCTCCGCGTCCCCTTCGGGCCCCGCCCCGCTTGTCTGGGCCCTCCTTCCCGCCGTTCTGCCGGGGCCTCCTGTCTTGCTGCCTCGCGCGCCCCCTCTGCCTCGCTTCGGCCTCCCGGCCTTCCCGCCCGTTTTCGTGGCGGGGCGTGCTCTTTGTTTCCCTCCCTTCGTTTGTCCGGGGTTCCCTGCCGCTTTTGCTGGCGCTCCCCTGGCTGTTCCTGTCCCCTTCTCTTTGGCGGCTCCCGTGGCGGCCCGTTTCCTTCTGTTTTCTCCTCTGCCTCTTTTCTCTCCGGCTCTTGGGGCTCCCCTTTCCGTCCCCCCCCCCGCTCTGCTTCTTGGCCTCTCTGTCTTCCCGCGCGCCCCTCGTCGCGGTCTTTGTCTCCCTCGGTCTCCTCCGTGTCCTCGTCGCCCCTCTCCCCCTCCCCGCCGTGCCCCTCGTCCTTCTCCGTCTCCGCCCGCGCCCGTTTTTTGTCCTTCCTCTGCTGCCCTTGGCGCTTCTCGCCCGCCCCGCCTCCCTTTCGCTCGTCCTTTCTGGCTCCGGTGGCGCCTCGCTCCCCGCGTTCTTCCTTCCCGCGCCCTCCCCTCGCCGTTCCCTCTGCCTCCCTCGGGCCTTCTTCTGCGCTTTCTGGCCCCTCTCTCCTCGTCCGCCGTCTCCCCCCGCCCTTCTTTTTCTCTCCCTTCGCCCCCCTGTTGGCCCCCTTTCTCTTTCTCGCGCCCTCGCCGCCGCTCTCCCGGGGTTTTCTCGGGCCGGGTCCTCCGCTCCCTCCCCTCCTTCTCTGCTCGCTCCCCCGGGCGTTCGGGGCTCTCCGGTTCCGCTCGGCCCCTCGCTCCGGCCTTTCTCCGCGCCCCCGCTCGCTCCCCGGCCGTTTTCCCCTCCCTTCCTCCCCCCCTTGTCTTGTCGCCTGTCGCCTCCTCCTTCGCCGCCTCTGGCGGTCCTTCTGGCCGCCCGGGCCCCTCTGGTCTTTCCCCCTCCCGTGCTCGCCGGCCCTGCCCTGCCCGCCTTCTTCGTCGCTTCCTCCTCCCTTCGGCCTGGCCTCTCCCTCCCCTCTCCTGGCTCCCGTCCCCCTCTGGGTTTTCCCCCGCTCCTGCTCCCTCCCTTTCCTTCGGCCTTGCTGCTCTTTTCCCCCTCCCTTCTCCGGGCTGGCTCGTTCCCGCTGCGGCCCCGCCCCGTTTGCTTTTGGCCCCCCCCCCTCCTTCTGGGCCTGTCCCCGCGGTCGCCCCCTTCCGTCCCTCCCTTGCCCTCTGGTCTGCTCCCCGTGCGTCTTTGCGCCCCGCCCTGCCTCCTCCTTTTCGGCTGCCTGCCCCTTTGCCTCCCGTTCCTCTCCTGTCTTTTTCGGGCGCTCGCGGCCCTGCCTCTCCGGTCCCTCCCTTGGTCGGTCTGCGCGGCTTCCTGTCCGCTCCCCCCGGCCCCCTGCTTGCTTTCCCCCTTCCCGCCCTTTCCGCGCCGGCCTTTCTTTCCCGGCCTCCCTCCTTTCTTGCTCCGGGGCCCGTCCGGGGTTGTGGCTCCTGCTGTCCGCCCCTCCGCTGCTGGCTCTCTCCCGCGCCGCCTTGTTGCCGTCGTTCCCCCCCTTGTTGTCCGTCGCGCGGCTTGCGGCCCTGTCCGCGGGGTTTCTGTGCGTCCTCCGCCTGGGCTGCTGCCGGCCCGGCTTTTGCTCCCCCCCTTCCTTGGTCGTGTCTTCGCCGCTGCTCTCTCCCTCGGCCCCCGGTGTCTTGCCCCTCGCCCTCCCCCCTTGGCGTTGGCCTTGTCCCTCGCTTCCTCCCCTTTCGCGCCCCCCCCCTCTCGCTTCGCCCTCCCTTTCCTTGTCGGCGTCCCTCTTGGCTTTGTCGCTTCTGTTCTGGCCGGCGTCCTCCTCCTGGCGCCCTGGTTGCCTTGGGGGCCGCTGTCGGTCTTCTTGCCGGTCCCTCGCTTGGCGCCCCTGGGCCTCCCTTCCCCTTCCGCCCTTTTCCTCCTGGCGGCGTCTTCCCCGGGGGTCCTGCCGCCCCTGTCCGCGCCCCTTCTCCTGGCCCCTCCGCTTTCCTGCGGCTTTGGTTCCTCCGCCCCGTCCCCGTCCTGGGCCTCCCGCTTTTCTCTGTTCTCTCGCTTTGTCTGTCCCTCTTGCGCGTGCCGCTCTTCTCCCTCCTGTGCCTCTTCCCCCCCCCGTTTTCTTTTCGTTCCCCCCGCTCCCTCTGTCGCCTCCGCCCCCGTGCTTGCTGCGCTTCGCGCCGGCCCCTCTCCTTTGCCTTTGCCCGCGCCGGTTCGCCCCCTCTTTCTTCTGCTTCCGCTGGCGCCCTGCCCTGGCGTCCTGCTGTGTCTCCTGCCCCTGCCTTTCCCTCTGGGCCTGTTCCTTTCTTCTCCCCCCCCGTCCTTTCTGGCTCTTCTTCGGGGCGCCGTGCCGTTCCCGTCTCGTCTCCCTTTCGCTCCCCCGGGCTCCGGCTCCCCCGCGTGCGCCTTCCCTTTTTGTCCCGCGCCGCTCTCTTTCCCCCTCTCCGCCCCTCCTGCTCGGGCGCGCCCCCCCTCTTTCGTGCGCCTTTTTCTGGTCCCCCCGCCGCTCGGCTTGCTGCTTCTTCCGCCCTCCCTCGCCTCCTCTGTCCTGCTCCTTCTCCTCTCGTCTCTCCGGCTCTTCTCCCTCTTCTCGCCGCGCCTTCGGCTTTTTTGTCCCCTTTCTTCTCCCCGCGGCGCCGCCTCCTTCCTCCTTCCCCTCCCCTCGCTTCCCGCCCGCCCGCCGGCCCTCCTGCCCTGTTCCGGTCTCTCGCTGCCCTCCCCCCCCTGGTCTTTTCTGTGGCCCTCGTCTTCTTGCTTCTTTCGCCGCTCCTCGGTCCCGCCGCCTGCGTTCGGGCCGTCCTCCCTCTGGGCCTCTCGCCCTGCCTTCCCTCGTGCCCCCGCGGCTTTGCTTCCGTCTCGCGGCGTGCGGGCCTTTCGCCCCCCCCCCCCCGCCCGTCGCTCGCTTTTTTTTCCTTCCCGCCGCCGTGCCTCTCTTCCCCGGCTCTTCTTCCCTTTCCCTCCTGGTCCGGCCCCCTCGTCTCCTTGGGGTCGCTCCCCCCTCCCCTTCCCTCTCCGCCGCCGCGTCGGCGGGTTGGTCCGGGTGGCGCCCCCCCCCCGCCTTGCCCTGCCCCTCTTTTCTGGCGCTCTCTCTTTCCCTGGCCGCGCCGCTCCGCTCTCCCGCCCTCGCGGCGTTTTGCTCCCCCCCGGCCCCGCCCCCCCCTGCCCCGGCCTCCCCCGTGCCCCTTGGCTCTCTGTCCCCCGGCTTCCGCCGCGCCCGCCCCCGTTTTTTGTCTTGGTTCGCCCTGTCGTCCCCTCTGCCCTCCTGGCCGGTCTCCCTTTGGCCCCCCTTTTCCCCCCCGCTCTCTTGCCGGCCCGCGCTCCTGTGCCCCTTCGCGTTGTCCCTTCTCTCCTTTCTGGCCCTGGCCCCCCCTTCGCGGCCTTTCTGCCCCCCGTCTTCCCTTCGTTCGGCCGTGTTTCGTTTTGCCTTGGCCCCCCGCCCCCCCGTTCTTCTCGTGCCGCCGCCCGCGCTTCCGTTGTTGCCCTCCGGCCCCCCGCTTTGCTTCGTCCTTTCCTCCGCCTCGCCTTCGTCCCTCCCCCCTTTCGTCTCTCGGCCCCGGCCCGCTCCTTGGGGTTTCGGCTTGCTCGCTGCTCCTGGCTTCGCTTGGCCCCCTCTCCCCCTCCCTCTTCCCCGGCCCGCCTTCCCCCCCCTTCCCCCCCTCCCGGCCCCCTTCCTCCCTTTTGCCTCGCCCTCCGGGCTGTCCGTCGTTGCGTCTTTTGTCCTCCTCCCCTTGTTCTCGCCTGGCTCCCGTCCCCGGTGCCCCTCTCCCCCCGTCCTCCCCTCCCTTCGCGGCTCCTCTCCTTCCCCTTCGGCCTTCCTTGGGTCCTTTCGCCCTCCCTTCCCCTTGCGCCTTTTTCTTCCTTTGCTCGGTTCCTCCTCCTCCTCCGCTCTTCGTCCTCCCTCTTTGCCCCTTGCCCCTTTCCCCCGCACCTTTCCCCGTCTTCCCCTGCCCTCTTCTTTCCTTGCGGCCCTGGGCCCCTTTCTCCTCCCCTCCCCGCCGTCACGCTTCTTTTGCCTCCCTTGCCTTTGCCTTGGTCTTTTCTCCCCCCCCTTCTTGTGCCGCGCCCTCCCCCTCCTGCGTCTATGGCCCGTTTCTTTGTGCCCCTGTCTGTCTCGCCCCCCCCAGCCCCCCCTCCCCTCGGGTCCCGTTCTCCTGTTCCCGTTGCTTCTGTCGTCCTCCGCTCCGCTCCGCCTTCTTTCGCCCCCCCGGCGCCCCCTGTTCGTGGCCTTTCTGGCGCCCCTTTTTCCGCCGGCGCTCCCTTCGTTTCCCTTTCCCTCTGCCCCCTCGCGCTCCGGTGCTCTCCCCCGGTCTTCCCCCGTCGCCCCGGTCTTCGCCGTGCGTTCCGTTGCTTCCTCTCGCCTGCCTCTCGCCCGGCGGGTTGCGGGTTTGGCCCCCTGTCTCCCCCGCCTTCTTGGCCTTCCTTGGGGTTCTTGCTTGGTGCTGCGCGCTCCCTCTCGCGCCCCGTCGCCTCTCTTTGTTCCTCCGCTCCCCCCGTTTCTCTCGCTCCCCGGGCGTGCCGCTTCCTCCTCGGCCTCTCGCCCTTCCTTGTCGCGTCCCTCCCTCCCGTGTTGGTTTCCGCCGCCGGCCTGTCTCCTGTTTTTTCCCCCTGGCGCCCTTCTTCCTTGTTGCGCGCCCCCCCGCTGGGGCGTGCTTTTCGCCGCCGCCCTCTGTTCTCGCGCCTTTTCTTGGCCTCCCCCCGCCTCTCTCCCCTCCTCCCCGTTTCCTCTCGGCCGCGCGTTTTCCCGCCCTGCTCGCGTTTTTCGCCCCCGCCGCTCTCCCGGGCGTCTCGCTTGGTTGCCCGGCTTGCCCGCGCCCGTTGTTTTTGGGGGGGTGCTCCCCGCCGGTCCGGCTTCCGCGGCTTCGTGCCCCTTCCCCCCTCTCCTCCCTTTCTTTCGCCCCCCCCCCGCCTCTCTTCGCGGGGGGGTGCGCGCTCTTTTGTCCCCCCCCCGCCCCTTCTTCGCCTCTTACCCTTTCCCCCCTTCCCCCCTCCCTCCCCTCCTCCCTCCCTCCCCCTCCCTTTCTCGGCTTTCTCCTGCTTCCTCCGCGCCCCCCCCCCTTGCCTTGCCTGCCCTCTCTCCCTTTGGTCCTTTCGTTTGGTCCTCCCCCCTCCTCGCCCCGCCTCCCGGTTTCGGGGCGTCTCTCTCCGTCCCCTCTCCGATCGCGGCGCCGGTTCCTTCGGCCCCCATTTTTTTTTTTGCCCTTCCCCCTTCCTCCGTTTCTTTTTTTTCCGCCTCCCCGGGGGGGGGCGCCCTGCCCCCCTCTCTTGGCCCCTCCCTTTGGCCGCGCTGCATGGCGGCCGGCGTTCTTATGGTCCTGGTCCTCGGCCCTGGCCTCCTCCCCTGGCCCCTCTCTCTCGGCCCCGCGTCCCGGTCTTCCTCTTCCCCCTCTTCCTGGCCCTGCTCGTTTTTTCTCCGCCCATTGTGCTTTGGTTTTTGGCTGCCGCCCGTCGGGGCCCCCCTTCTTCCTTGTTGGTCCCCATCCCGGCCGCTGCTTCCGTCGCGCGGGCTTCCCTCCGGGCCCGGTGTCCTTCTGTTCTCCCCCTGGCTTGGCGGTCTGTTCCCGCCTTGGTCCCTCCCGCCCCGCGCCTTCCTCCGTTCCGGGCCTTGCGCCTGGCCCCCACCTGGGGGCCTCCCTCGTCTTCCCCCCGCGCTGCTCCTCTCTTGCCCCGCCCCTTCGCTCGCTTGCCCCCTCTCTGGGCGTTCTGCCTACTCTATGCCCGGGCCCCGCCTCTTGCCCTCCTTGTTGCTCCGCCCCCCGCCTCTCCGGCCTTGCCCGCCTGTCTTCCTTTCGGCTTCCCCCCTTTGTTTCCTTGCTCCCCCTTGTGCCCCCCTCTCTCCGCCTCTTTCCCTCCGCGCTGCTGCCGCTCTCTCTTCCCTCCGCTTCCTTCTTCCCCCTCGTCTTCGCCTTTGTGCGGGTCGTTTCTCGCTCTCTCTCCCTCCTTTGCTTCCTCCTGCCTCCTCCCCTCCCCTCCCTTCCTCCCGCCCTCCCCTCCCTTTCTAGGCCTCGGTTCCTCTCCCTCCTACTTTTTTTTTATTTCTGCCTTTCCCCTTTCCCCCCGGGGCTCTCCGGGGCTCTTCTGTGCTTTGTTCCTCTTCCCCTCTCCGCTTCCCGTCGGCCCCGACTGGTTGTTCCCGCCTTTTTTTTCCGTTCCTCTTTTTTCCCCGGGCCCTCTGGCTGTTTTCTCCTGTTCCCTCCCTCCCCTCCCGGGTTCTCCGCTCTCTCTGGTGTGGCCGTCGGCCCCCTTTCTCTTGCCCCTCGGGGTGGCCCCGTTCCCGCCCGTCCTTCTTCCTTCTTGGTTGTCCTTGCTCTCTCTTCGTTCCGCCCCTCTCGCTGTTCGCCCCCCCCCCCCCTTCCGCCTGGGGGTCCGCCTTTCTTCGCCTCTGTTCTTGCCTTCCTTCGCGCTGTGCGTCCCCCTCCCTTGGCGCCGCCTCTGGTCCACTTGGTGTTCCATTTTCTTGGGCCTCTTTTTCTCTTCTTTTGTTTCTCCTTGGTCCGGGGCTCTTTCCCTTGGCCCCTCCTCCCTTCCTCCTGGGGCGTTCGCCGCCCCCCCCCTGCTCCCCTCCTCCTGTTGCTTTGGCTTTCCTCCCGTCCTTAGGCCTCTTTCTTCTGCGGGTCTTCCCCCCCGGCTTCGTTCTTTCGGGCCCTCTCTTCCCCCACCTCCGCTTCTTTTCCGCCTTCCCCTCTTCGACCGCTTTCCCCCCGCCTTTCTCGCTTCGTTTTCGCCTTTTCGGGCCTCTCTTTCGCTGCTGACCTTCGTCGTTGTTGTTCTTGTTTCTTTCGTCCCTTCCGTCGTTCTCTCCCCGTGCTGCTCCTTGGCTTCTTTCCCCGCGGTCTTCCCGCTCTTCTTTTGCCCCTTTCGCCGCGCTTCTCTCGGTGCCTCCTGGCGGGCCCTCCTTGCCCTCGTCTTTTTCCTTTTTTCGCTTCGCCCGTGCGTGTGTCTCCCGCTCCTTCCGTTCCCTTCGGGCCTTGGGGCCCTCCCCACTCTGCCCTCTCCGCCCTCGCGTCCTCGCCCCCGTCCGTTGCTCTTCCCCGGGCCCTCCCTCTCCCGGCCCTTTTTCCCTCCCCTTGCTTTTCCTTCCCTTCCTCTCCTCCTTCTTCTCCCCTGCCTCTTTGCTTTCTCTTTCTCTTGGTTCGCCCTCTCCTTCTTCTTTCTTCCCTCCTTCTTCCCCCTCCCCCTTTCCCCCCGCCTTCTTCCCCCGCCGTCTTGTGGTCTCTGTTTCCGCCGCGTGCTCCCTTCCCCTCCCCTGCCCGGGGCCCTGCTTCCCGTTCCGTTCTTTCCTTGCCGGCTTTCCCCCCTCTCCCCCCCCCCTTCCCTCCCCTTCGCTCCCTCCCGTCCTGCTGTTTCTTTGCCTCTGCCTCTGTCCTGCTTCTTTCTCCCTCTGGTCCTGCTTCGGTCTCCCCCTGCCTCCCTTTCGCCCGGCCGCCCCGCCTTTCCTTGCCCGGGCTTCCTCCCCCCCTGCGCTGGTCGGGGCGGGCGGGGGTCGTCGCCCTCGGTCTCTCTCCTTGCCTGCCTCTTCCTCCGCCCCCCCTTGTCGCCGTTTCGCCGCTTGCTTCTCCGCCTCCGGTTGCCTCTCCGCTGCCTCGTTGGTTTCCGTTCTCGCCTCCCGCCCTGTCTCTGTGCTCTTCGCCTCGTCTCTCTTCGCTTTCTCTTTCCTTGCCCTCCTCCTGCCCTTTGTCCTTTCGCTCGGGCTTCCCTCCCCTCGCCGTCCTTCCGTCTCGTTGTGCCTGTGCCTTGCCTGCCCCCCCGGCCTGCCCTCCCGCCCTTCCCCCTACCCCGTTCGCCCTCCGCCCTGGCCGCCCCCCCGTTGTCTCGGCGTCCCCCCCTCTGTGGCTGGCCCTCTCCCGCTCTCGCCGTCGTTCTGCCGCTTCCTCCCTCCTCTTCTTACCTTGTCCTTCCCTTCCTTCTCCCTTGGCTGGCTGCCTCCTCGCGCTGGCCTCCTGCCGTTCTCCTTCCTTGCTTGCTTGTCTCCTTCCCGCTTTCTTTTTTTGTTCCGCGGCCCTTCTCCTGCCTCCCCCTCCTTTCTGCCGCTTCCGTTCTTGCTGCTGGGTTGGCGTCGGCCTTGCTTCTCTTGGCCCTGGCGTTTGGTCCCGGGCCTGCTGCGGGTCCCGCTGTCGCGGGTCTCGCGCGCCCGCCTGCGGCGGCGGGCCCCCTACGCGGCCCTCTCTTGCTTCGTCCTGCTTTCTGGCCTTTCCCCCTTTCTGGCTTGGTTGTGCCTCGCCTTTTCTTTGCGCCTCCTTTTGTTTCCTCTTCTCCCTCCGCTCCGCCCCTGTCGTTTGCTTTTTCCCCCTTCTCTCCCGCTTTCCATCCCTCCGCTTCCTTTTTCGTTGCGCCCCTCCCCTCCGGGCCGGGCCGCTGCCGCCTTCGCCTCCTGCCTCGCTTTCCTCCTTTCCGTTCGTCCGCCCCCGGCCCCTTTTTCCGTGCGATCTTCGTCTCCCCCTCCTCCCCCCCGGGGGGTTCGCCTTGCGCCCTCCTCCCCCTTTTTGCCATCGCTTCACGCCCCCGCCCCCCGCGCGTCCCTCCCCCGCGCGGTGCCGTGCTCCCACCCTCCCTCTGTTGTTCTTTAATGTTTCGTTTTTTCGTCGCTCTCTCCGCGGCGCCTCTGCCCCCGTCCCCGCTTCTTTCCTTTCTTTGGGCCCCTGGCCGTCTGCTGGGCGTTTCGGGTTTCCTCCGCGCTCTTTTTGCCCCCCTCCCCTCCCTCTCCGTGTACGTGCTTGGTGTCTTGCTCTTTTTTGCCCGGGCGTCTGTGCGCGTTGTTTCTTTCCCGCCTCGGCTGGCCCCCCCGCTGTCTCCTTTCGTTTTCCTTCGCACCTCGGCGCGCGGGGTGCCTGCTCTCGCGCCTTCCTTCTGCCTCCTTCCGCCCTTCTCTGTCCCCCCCTACGCCTTTCGTGCTTTCTTGGTCCCTCTCCTTCGCATTCTCTCTCCCCCCCTCCTCGGCCTCTTCCCCTGGTCCCGCCCCCTCGTTTTGCCGTCCCGCCCCTGCCTGGTCCTCTTTCTCTCCCTCTTGTTCCTTCTCGCGCTGTTTTCCCCCCTCCCTCGCTCTCGGCTCCTCCTCTTGCTCCCTCCTTTGCCCTCTTTCTTGTCCCCCGGCCTTTTCCCCTTTTTCTCCACCTGCTTCCTTGCCGCCCTGTGTCTTCGTCCGCCTCTTTTTTGCCCCCCCACACCCCCTTTGCTGCCCCTTCCCTCTTTTTTTTTTGCTTTTGTCCGCCGCGTCCTCCGCCTTTTTTTCGGCTTGCCTCCGTTCCCTCTCTTTTTGGCCTCTGCCCCCGCCGCGCGGCTCGCGCTCCTTCTCTTCCTCCCACCCCCCCCCGTCTGCGCCTTTTCTTTCCGTCCTTGCGCGTGCGCGCCCCCTGCCATCGCCCGCTTCCTGTTTGGTTCGGGCCGGGCTTCTGGCCGTTTTTGCCCTGCCTGGCCCTCCTCTCCTTTCCTTCCGTGCTTTCTTCGCTCCTCGCCCCCCGCGGCTCTTCCCTCCTCTTCGCCTTCCGCCGCCTTGCGCGGTGGGGCCCTTGCCCCCCTCGCCCCCGCCCGGCCGCTTCCGGCCCCTCGCCCCGGCCGCCGCGCCGTTTCGCGTGCCTGGCTCCTCTGGCTCGCACCGCGCCCCCTTGCCTTTGCATTCCGTCCCCTTCTCCGCCTTTCGCCCCCTTCGCCCCTTCTACCCCTGCCCCTCTTCGGTTTGCCCCGCCCGGGCCCTTCCTCCCGTCCGCCCCCGGGTTTTCCCCCCCCTTCCCCGCGCTCTGGGCCTCTGCCTCGTTGTTTGCCCCCGCGTTCCCTTCCGTCCCCTTCGTGCCCCTCTTGGCCTGTTGGGCCCCCTGCCCGCCCTCCCTGCTTCCTTCGTCTTTCTCCCGGGCGGTCTTCTTTTTTTTTGCCCCCGCCTGCCGCCCTCCTCCTGGTCCCCCTTCCCCCGCCGCCCCTTCGTCCTCTTCTCGCGTGCCCGGTCTTGCCCCCTCTCCTCGCGCAGTCCCTCTTGTCCCTCCCGGTCCCGTCCTTCCCGTCGGCGCTGGCCTTGCTCGTCTTTCCGGTCTTGCTGCCAGTCCTGGCCGGGCCTTGGTCGCCTTTGCCGCGGGTCCCCTCGCGCCTTGCTCTCCTTTGGCCTCCCCACCTGTTGGTGTTGTCTTCCTGGGCGCTGGGTTGCTGCTCCCCGCCGGCACGTTCTGTCCCGCCACCGGCCCGCCTTGCTCCGCTCCCGGTGGGTGCCGCCTCTTTGGGTCGTGTTCTCCCTGCCCTGGCTCCCCCTCTTGCTGGTCGGGGCGCCCTTTCCGCTTCTGGCTTTCGCTTCCTTGCCTCCCCTGCTCCGGGGCTTCTTTCGCGTCGTTCCGTCTCTGCGCCTCTTCCCCCCGGGCTTCTTGCTCTCGCTTCGCTGCTCCCTCTCGGCCGTGGTCCGCGCGCCTTCCTTCTTGGCGCCCGCCCCCCCGGTCCCCCGCCGTCGCCCCGGCTCCGCTTCTCCCTCCCCCGGTCCCCTGTCCTCTGTGTTTCTGTCGCTCTTGGGCCCCCGCCTCTTCTGTGGCTCCGGTCGTTCCTCCCTTCCCGGCCCGGGGGCGCTGGCCTCCCCTCTTGTGGTCGCCGCCCCGGCGGCTTCCCCTGCTCCCTTCCCCTCCCTCGCTCCTTCTCCCGGCGCCGCTCTGGCTGCCTCTTTTCTGTCTCGTGCCCGCCCCCCTTTCCTCCTTTCTGCTGCTCTCTCCCCCCCGCCCCCGCTTCTCGCCCCCTGTCTCTTCTCTTCCGCCGCCCGCCCGGTCGCGCCGCTTCTCCCGGCGCTGTTTTTTCTTTGCCCTCCCGCCTTTTGGCCCGCGCTGCTCCCTCCCGTTCTCCGTTCGGTGCGGGGCGTCTGCCCGCCTTCCCTCTCGTTGCCCCGCCCTCGGGCGCTGTTTCGGCTTCTCTTCCTCCTCCTGTCCTTTCCCTTCCTGCTGGCCCCTCTTCTTCTCCGCCGCTCTCTTCCCTGCTGGCCTCCGCCCTGCTCTTCCTGTGGGTCTCTCTGTTTCCCGCGTGGGGTCTGCCGCTCCCCTTCCCGCCCTGCCCCGGTCGCTGGTCCCTTCCCCTTGGCCCTGGCGCCCTTCGCCGCCTTCGCCGCCTTTGCCCCCTTTGCTTCTGCTCTCGCTCCCGCTCGTCCCCCTCCTTGGCCCGCGGTCCCCGCTTCCGTGCCTTGCTTCCCCCTCCCCCTCCGCTCCTCTCCCGGTGGCCGCGCCGCTCCTCCCTCTTTTTCCTGGCCTCCTGGTTCTCTTGCTTCCTTCGCCCTTGGCCCGGTCCCGCCCTTTCTTGTTGCGTTCCGTCCTTCCTTCCCCCTCCTCCCCCTCGGTTCGCCGCCCTCCTCTCTTCTCCTCCGCTCTTTCCCGCGGCCGCCGCCGCCCTTTTGCCCGCCGCTCTTCGGGCCCCCTGGCTCGTTTTCTCCTTCCGCCCCCCGTCTCCCGCCCTTTTGCTCCCCTTTCCCTTTCCTCTCCCCTCCCGCGTTTCGGCTTTCCCTCTTCCCCCGGTCTTTCGCGGTCTCGCCCTCCCCCCGCTCGCCCGCCTTGCGTCCCCTCGGCTTTGCCCCTCTCCCCCCGGTTTCGCCGCCCTCTCCCCTTCTGGCCGCTTTTCTTCTGCTTTTTTCGTCTTTTTGCCTTTCGCCCCTTTTTGTTTGCCCCCCCCCGCCTCGGCTTGGCTTGTGGGCTTCGCTTCTGGGCTTCTCTGTGCGCTCTTTTTTTTTCCTTCTCTCTTCCCCCTTTCTCTCTTGCCCCCTCTTCTCCTTCGCCCGCTCTCCCCTCGCTCTTTCGCCTTCTCCCTTCGCCTCCCCTGCCCTTCTTTCCCTTTCCCCTTTTTTGCCTTGCCCTTCCCCCACCTCCCCCTGCCCCCCCCTCTCTCTCTCTTCCTTCCCTGGCCGCTTTCCCTTCTCTCTCCTTCGCCGCCCTTCGCCTCGCTTTTTGCCTTGGCCTTTTTTCTTCTCTTTTCCTCGCCTCTCTTTTCCTTTCGCTTTCTTGCCTTCTGCCTCTCCTCTGCCTTCTGCCCTTCCCTTTCCCTCTTCTCTTCCCTTGTTCTTTGGCCTTTTCTTCTTTCTTTCTTCTCCGTTTCCGTTCCTGTGCCTCTCCCTCGTTCCCTCTCCCTCGTTCCTCGCCCTCGCCCTCTCCCTCTCTCTCCTCGCCTCGCTCTCCCCGCTCGCGGGTCGCCGGCCTCGCCCCGCCTCGTTCGCTTGGCCGGCTCGGGTTCTCGTCGCCGTCGCTTCCGTCTTTTGCGCCTCTCTCCTTCCCCCCCGCGCCTCCCCTTTGGTTTCCTTCGCTCCTTTCTGGCCCTGCGTCCCTTCACGCGCTCTCTGCTCTGCCCCTTCTCCCCCCTTCTCCCCCTCCCCTCTCCGTCCGCTTTTGGTCTGCCTCCCGCCCCCCGCCCTCGCTTTCTCGCTGCTCCCTCTCGCCTCCGGGTGCTTCTCCCCCCTCTTTCTCGTTCCTCCGTTCTTCTTTCCTCTTCCCTTCCCTCTCTCTTTCTTTCCTTCTTCTTTCCTTTCCCTGTTCATTTACTTTCTTTTCCCTCCCTCCCTCCCTTTTCTTTCCTCTTCCCTCTCTTGCCTCTTCTTCCCTTGGTGCCCTCTCCTCTTCTTCCTTCTTCGCTTCCTTCTTTCCTCTTCTTCGGCTCCTGCGGCCCCGTCTTTTTTTCCCCCGGCGCTCCCCCCTCTGTTGCTGCCTCTCGTCCCCCCCGGCCTCGTTTCCTCGCTCTTTTGCTTCCCTCTCTTTCCTCCCCCCCCCTTGCCGCTTTCGTTCCGGTTCGCCCTTTGCCCCGCCTTTCTCGCTTCCGCCCTGGCTCCCTTCCTCTCCTTACTTCCCTTGCCGTTTTGCTCTCCCTTCTCTCCTTCGTTTCGTTCTTCCTCCTCCCTTTTTCCCTGTCTCCGCGCCTTTGTGCTCCCCTCCCGCGCCTGCGTCTTTTCTCCGGCCTTGGTCCTTGCGCGGCCCCGGCTTCCCTCCTTTTTCGCCCTCCCGTTTTTGCTCGCCCCGCCCCCCCGCCGGCTCCCTTCCCTGTCTCCCGGGCTCTTCACCGCCTCCCCCTTTTCCCCCTCCCCTCTCCCCGCTCCCTCCGCTTCTTGTCTCCCCTCCCTTTTGTCGCCCGCGGGCTTTTGCTCCCTCCCCTCGGGGTCCTCCCCCTCGTTTTTCGTGGGCGCGTCCCTTCCCTTTCCTCTCTTTGCCTCTTCCGCCCTTCCCTCGCCTCTCATTCTCCTCGCCTCGCCTCCTCCCTCCTTCCGCCTCTCCCCCTCTCCCCTCCCCCGCCTTTTTTCTTTCTCCCTCTTTCTTTCTCCTTCGTTGCCCCCCCACCCGGCCCAGCTGCCTCCTGCCCCCGCCCTGCGCCTCCGCCGGCCTTTCGCCCCACCCCCGCCCCGCCCCGCGGCCGCTCTTTCCCTTCTTTCTTTTCTCTTTTGCGTTCTTTCCGGCCTCTCTTCTCCCTCCCTCTTTTTTTCCTCCCCCCTTGCTCCTTTTTCCTTCCCCTCTCCTCTCTTCCTCTCTCTTCCCCCCCTCGCCTTCTCCTTCGCCTCCCGCCGCCGCCCGCATTCCTTCGTTATGTGTCCTGTCGCCCTCGGCCTTCTCCCGTTGCCTTTGGCGCGCTGGCTGCGTGCTCCCCGCGGCGGCTTGCTCCTCCGTTGTCCGGGTTCTTCGTCCGCGGGTTCGCCATCCCTCTCTTTCCCTTTCCGCGGCTCTTTTCTTTTTTTTTTCCCCTTTCGCCCTCGCCTTGGTTCTTCTTCTTCGTTTCGTCGTTCCCTGTGTGTCCTCGTCCCCTCCTCCCCCGCCCGTTGCCCCTCCCCCTCTTTTTCGTTTCGTCTTCTTCTTCCCGTCCCGGCTTCCGCCCCTGGCTCCTTCGCTCGGCCCCCCCCGCTGCGCGCGCCCCCCTCTCCCTCCTGTGTCCCCCGCGTTTGCGGTCCGCCTTCCCACCTCTCCCCGCTTTTTTCTTTTTTTTTTCTCCCCCGCGCCTCGCTTCTCCCTTTTCTCCCCCCTCTTCCCGTTTGGCCCCCCCGCCCTGCCACTTCTTTCTCCCCCTCCTTTTCCCCTTTCCTTTGCCCTCCTCGTTCTTCCTTTCCCCCTCTCTTCCTCCTTCGCTCTTGTCCGGCCCTCGTCGGGTCTTTCCCTGGCCCGGCTCACCCCCCCC